CTACTTCCGTAGTGATACTGCCTCGGAAACCCAAGGAGGGGTCGCTATGAGTCGGGGCCGACTCAACGGCACATAACAACAACAACATCCCTTCAAGATGGGGCAATCTACTTCCATGGTGATACTGCCTCGGAAACCCAAGGAGGGGTCTCTATGAGTCCGGTCTGACTAGATGGCACAAAACAACAACAACAACATCTCTTCAAAGTTCAAGGTTTTCCTATTGTCAGTGATCTCTATGCCATACCTAAGACCACAGATAGTGCCTTATTAAGTTATTTACAGCACGGCGTGAATTAGTCTGTGTCCATTACCTTGTTCTCTCCTTCCCATTGTTAGTTTCTAATTTTATAAATGATCATTTTGCTTTTCTGCCTCTTCTAATATGAGTAAGATCCTGCTACTCAGTAAGGCCATTGGACATATTCTCAAAGAACATGAATGTCACAGTAGTGTTTACAAGTCATGAGTAGTGAATAATGGTAGGCTAATGATTATGGCATTTTGGGGATTTTTTAAATAAAATTTGACTTCAGTTGTATAAAACAAGTTGTCATTAGGAAATACAGATTTCTTGATTACAGGCTGCTTGTTTCTAGAACACCTTTTTAATTGGGACAATTAATTGACCATGAGGTGGGGTGGGGTTGGCTAAACCCATGGATGTAAACTTATTTAATCATTTGAATGTTACATTTGGATAAACTTTTTTTTTCCTTTTTTTGATTGAATGATATGTTTCTCCTTGTCCTCATTTTAAACCATAAAAAATTAAAAATAATGTGACTCAATATCAAATTTTTCAGGACATGTTTATAATTGATATACGTTTCCATTACTACTTACGAACCTGGGTGAATTGTACATTGGATGTTATTGGAACTATTTTGGTCATTGTGGCAGCTTTACCACTGTTTATTCTGGGAGTGTTTCCCTTGGTTTTCATCTATTTCACTATACAAGTAAGTACATGGATTTATATTTGTATTGATAACTTATGAGTCTGTATAGTCAAATATAGTTTCCGATATACTTAAACCTGATATTGTACAGATTCTCAAAGAAGCAGACTCCAAGATGGATTAGATATGCCACAGATTTATTACAGGTAATGCCTGTGAAAGATAAGGGGGAAAAGCCCTCAGATAACAATGTAGGTCTGATCTCCAAAGTGGAGGGGGAAGGAAGAATTGTGTAGGAAGAGTCTTGCACTGCAGAGATGAGTTTTGAATGTATATGCATTTGTATATTTATGTAGGGGAAAGTATCTTACCTTAATCACCAACACAGAGTGCTCTGTGACCTCCATAATATAATCCCTGATCTAGGCAGTTTCCATGCAGCCCTAAGATGCCATGAGCCTCGCTATTTCAGAACATTTAGCATACAACAGAGTTTGTTTGTAAAAGCACAAGCTATAAGGCCATAAAACTAAAAAAAAAACTCACTGCAATTGAGTCAGACCCGACTCATAGCCACCCCTCTGTTGGGTTTCCAAGGCATTATTACTATGGAAGTAGATTGCCCAACCTTCCTATCGAGGAGTGACTGGTGGGTTTGAACTGCCAGCCTTCTGGTTAGCAGTCAAATGCCTTACGCACTACGCCACCAGAGCTCCCATGAGGACTTAACGTTTCCTGAAATGTATTTATGTCTAGCTTTATCAATGTTTTTATGAAGTAAGGGATTTTACACAAAATTTCAAAGTTGAATATTTCCCAGGTTGGGGGTAAGCACGATCTCACAAATTTTTATTTTCATTCTCAGTTTGTAACAATTATCTGGGATTGATGAAGGATGGCCCTGTTAATTCAGGATATGTTCCATCCAGCTCTCTACAGTCCTCACCAGTCCTTATTGTCCGCAATCCAAGACCATGGGTAAAAAATTACTTGTAATTGTGCTTGTACAGGAGTTTTTTTAAGGAAAAAAAAATTTTTTTTTTCCTCTAGTTATATTTAGGTGCAAACTTGGTTGTATAACTGACCTACTTCCCTTAGGTCTGTCTGGTTGTTTTTAACATGTAGCAAAGAGTTTTCTCCATACCAGTTATCTAATAATGGTTGTTTAAGAACACTAAACCACCACTTGTCTGTCAATTTGTCATACTGTGATGGCTTGCATGTTTTTGTGAGGCTGGAGGCTGTGCCACCAGTGTTTCAAATACCAACAGGGTCAGGTTTCAGCAGAGCTTCCAGACAAAAACAGACTCAGAAAAAGGAGGGGGCCATTTATTTATCAAAGAATTGGCGCATGAACTCCTTATGAATAGCAGTGAAAAAATGCCTGATATATTACTGGAAAACTTTATGAATAGCCTTGAAACATTGTCTGATTTAGTGCCAGAAGATGAGCCCCTCAGAGCTGATGGCACTCAAAATATGACTGGGGAAGAGCTGCCTCCTAAAGTAGAGTCGACCTTAATGATGTGGATGGAGTAAAGCTTTCAGGACTCTCATTTGCTGATGTGGCATGACTCAAAATGGGAAGAAACAGCTGCAAACATCCATTAATAATCAGAACATGGAATGTACGAAGTATGAATCTAGGAAACTTGGAAGTTGTCGAAAATGAGATGAACAAATAAAGATTGACAACCTAGGCTTTAATGAGCTGAAATGAATGGATTTTGGCCGTTTTGAATCAGACAACTAGGAATGAGAAATGAAGAGGAATGGTGTGGCATTCATTGTCACAAAGAATGTTTCAAGATCTGTCCTGAAGTACAATGCTGTCTGTGATAAGATAATACCTGTACACCTATAAGGAAGATGAGTTAATACTAGTGTTTTTCAAATTCATGCAACAACCACTAAAGCCAAAGATGAGAAAATTGAAGATTTTTTCCCAACTTCTGCAGTCTAAAATTGACCAAA